TTTATCGCTTTTTAAGCAGGGTAGGTTGATTATGATTTAGGTCAAGGTAAATAAAGGAGATCGACATAGTTCTTCTCTACAAACAGTCCAGATTTTCTGGTGCAGTCAAGTTCCAATACATATATTACCAGGAACACGATAAATCATCGAGAAAGTCTGCTCCAGTTTAACTGATTGTCCTCTATCCATCAAGTGAGTGAGGGCCACATTGTTTGTGCATTTGGTTACCTCCTTGCTTAACCATATAAGTGTATATCCATGCAAGCCTATGGATGAAATGCTAGGAGTAAGGTCTATGTGGCTAGCTTCACATGAGCCATCATTGGTCGTTTATCCTTGACTTACTGTGTGAGTACTAGTTACGTTGAAGAAAACAATGCCAGTTTATCATCAAGGAATGTTTAGTCGACATTCTAGACTTTTATTCTTATCCGAATTCGCCTTTATTAGCTTTGTTAAAATAAACAGATTTATGATTGTTCACTCTAATGATTGTTGTTCTGAATATTATTCCCTTTGGTTCAGAGTGAAATATCGATCTTCAGCAACATACCTACACTTCGTTCTGTTTGACGGTGCCCTCTTCAGTTACCTACCTTCACAACTGCCCGTGATCTCTCATCTCTTTCTCCAACCCAAACGATCTCCTCCGTCTCACCCTTGCAGTGACGACCCAAACGTCGTGCCTATTCAGATTCCACTCGAATGATGGTCTACACTGAGTACGATGTCATCCTATAGCTTCCTCAACATATACCCAATCAATGTCCCTTTTCTTCTACATATTTGTTGAGGAATTGGCTAAATGCGTTGGTTTACTGCTAGCCAGAGTTTCCTGTTGATGATTTTTTCCATTCATTTGATATCCGAAATAAAGCAAGCGATGACAGCTGATGATAAAAGCATGTAACCTTTTGGAATTGCTTCCCGTGTGATGCGGATGACAAGTTTCTAACCCGTATAGACAAACTGACTGACTTCATATTTGTGGTGTAAATTCGACTCTTGCTCTTTATGCTGCGGATTGCAGAAGATTTCCAAACTGGCTTCATGTTGGTGAATTCGTAATTTGCCTTTCCGATTCTGCCTGGCAATGACATCTTCATCCGTTCCGACTACCTGTAACTGAAACGATGCTTCCTAGAAAAGTGTAACCAAGAAGTGACGGTGATTAACGCTGGTTGTTATACTGTTCTGAATATCTTAAATCACTGGGCTACCGAAATTACCTTCCTCCAAAATGCTTAATTTCATCTGGATTTATCATTGTTTAAATCGTCCAGCTATATCAAATGACCTATACATAAACTTGCGCGATGATATAACTTGCTCCCAAGTAAACGCTTTACAATTTTTCAACGAAATGAAGATATACTTCAGATTATTAATTTACATGTGAATCCTGTGTGAAGAAAAAGGTACTTTGGAGCTGAATACGCTGAAAATTTTTGTACCGTATATTCGCATACTGTCTTAAATAAAGCTTTACCATTATTATTATTATTATTAAAAAATGGTACATATTTGATACTATCATTTCCAAATAAAGAAGAACATCACTATAAATTACACTTGTGAAAAGTTCTGTCTCTCTTTTGCATTAATCACGCGATCACGTTACAATTACAGACTGTCTGTCTTTCATAATTCACTCGTTGACAGGTGAGTAATTTAGTCACGTGATTTGTAAAAATGCGGAAAACAGTTCATCGTTTCAAGAGATATTTTCGTCTCCATCACATTTACTGAGATGTGCTTGTGTAGAAGTCGGCAGGTGTGCACTAATGAAACAAGTCAAACTGGAAGAAAGCCTCTGTGTGGATGTACTTCGGTGTGAAGATAGTCATTTAACTGATTTGTATGTATGATAAACTCTTCTTTTAGATTTTTGGACCAGGTGGTCGAATATCGTCTGATATTATACCACCTGGTCCAGAGCGACTAGCCACCAAGCCAGCACCGATGAATCTTTCTCATTCATCTACTAGGTACCAAATAAATCGTCCAAAACAACCAGTTACCACGTGCTGCCAACAGTAGGGGCTATCGTTAGTCGCCTAAAATAACCAGGGCTTTGTGTGTGAAAAAAAAGCGAGTTCAGCCAGCCACTGTGCTGACTGCCCTTCATTAAAGACTATAAACTCATGATCTATCTTTCCTAATTTCTCTGACATTCAGTGCAGCGTAATGTCATGTTGATCCTATCGGACTGTAATCAATTGACATTGTTATTGTTCATAAGTTATTTAAACACTGTTAGGTGCATGCATATCTGTAGAAACTCATAAAGAAGTCGTTACCGAAAAGAATATTCTTTAGAAAAAACCTAGAATTAGACATGTTTCTGTGACAATATTGTCTCCACATGACTTTTTGTTTTCCTTCACATTCCACAGCGGAACATAGGGCGTCAAGCTAGTGGCTTGAAGTTTCTGTAGCAGTGTTTGTTTTACAGGATGGGTTTGCTAGCCACCTCATGCCCAACCTTTCCTCTTTACCAGAATTATTTCTGGTTTAGCAAGGTAAAGGAGTGCGCCGGCCAGTGATTGAACCCCGGACCATGTGCATGGTCGGCGAGCGTCCTAACCGCTATGCCACCGACGCCACATTGTCTCCATATGAAAGAGTGAAACAAAAATACCAAACATGTATCAATATCTACGACTCAGATTTTGGTTACTTTCAAAGATGAATACTATCCAGATGGTTTGTTTAAAGCTGTTCTGCAGTGGAATCTCAACACTAGATTTTATTCCATTCAGGACTCATCATCTGGATGTAATTACTAAGACTCGAACCCAGTGAGACATAAGAGTCACCTTCTTTTGGATATACTGTTTATGTATGCTAATAAAATTCCCTAGTTGAGCGATCATATTTGAATCGTATCTATTGATATCTGGACTGTAAATAACATTATGTTAATCTTCGAACACTGTCAAATCATCCATACTTGAAACCGACATGTCAACAGATACCGAAAATTTCAGGAAATATGAACTTTACGTAAACAGAAGAAACTATAAGGAATTATTTCTAACTTCACTGATTTCTTTTTAACATATCGAAAGTTACTTAAAATCTAATTTTTTAGTTCATGTCGTTGAAATTTCAAAGAATAATGTGACATTTTTTAAGTAGGAATTTTTGTTCGATGAAGGAAAATTCATAGCCTAAATGAAACATTACGTTATTTATATCATGATGTGACTTGAACATGTATATATGCTTTAAATAACATAAGCCATGGGTCATAGTGGAAAAAACGGTTATATATCACAGGAAGACCTCTTGTTTTATGTACATACATTTGCGTCGCCATAAATAAAGATATCAGGCCTAGTGGATAATGCATTGATGTTTGAAACAATCAGTGCTGACTTCAAGTGTCAGTTTTACCACCAGTGGTAAAACTAGGATTTATGTACATTCGACTCACGTGTTCTAAACAAGATGAATCGCATATCTTGGTAGCCTTTCTATAAGGGAATCTCAAAAGTGTAGTTAGAAACAGGACTCAAAGGAGAGAGATTTTTGATTATAGAATGGAATTCACAAGGAGAAATAATATTGGCAGGTTACTGCCATGGATAAGTTTAATTAAAATTATTAACGATGTAAAATTAGCTTCAGGTGAAAATAGAGACCAACAGTATATTAACGACAGAAAGAAGAAAACGCACCTATTAATTTAGTGTTCCTAAGTAAGTTGGTAATTTCAAGCTTAAAAAATTCCTCATCACATAAAATTTATGGATAAACCGAGATGATAGTGGAGAGTTGTGTATCTCAAAAGGGATTTTCAGGTCCAGGCAAGATAATATTCACTAAACTCTTGCATGATTTCTAGCGTCTGTTCAAAAAAGTGTTAGCAAGTTGGTTGACTAAAATCCTATCTACACTGCCAACAGCTTCTAGTGCTCTTTGCAATGTAAGTAAATCTTTTTTTTCAGTAGACGAGTAACGATTGACGGTGAGCGATGAATACGAATATGTAGAATACAAAAATTAATAAAAAGACTGCATAAACGAGGACCAAGTGATACCCAATCGTCTTAGTTGCCTTAAGTAGAAGGTTAGAAGAAGTGGTAGTCTGGAAATTGACATGATATAGGAAGAACAGAAAAGATCAGAGAAAAGATATAGTTCAATATAGTTAACATCCGACTTAGTTTTAACTTCAGGGTCTCCTATGATAACGTGAACGCTCTATTTCATCTTAATCATGTTTGTATGTCTCTGAAAGTGAAATGAGCAATCTGATATTGTGAGGGATTTACCTGGAGACCATTTAACAAGGACCACTAGTTAGTTTCTAAAACTTCTGGGTAAGAAAAGGACGAGGAACATCACCTTGAGGGACGCCGATCAGAGTATGCAGGGCACTGGAAAACCTTTCTTTACATACAGTGTACTGCTTTCTTTCAGAGAAATAAGAAACCAAACATCTATTAATCCAACATCCTGATAGTATCGAAGCAAGTTTGTATGACAAAATAGTCCAATATTCTTGGAAGGCACGTCGAACATGTTTAGCATCTTCGTCAAAACTATAGATAATATTATGATACAAGATAACATTGACATCAAAACGAGATCTACTACGTTTGCAAGCTATTTGTTTTGGGTCGTCATTAGCCATCAGTGAAGGTTCAAGGTGAGGTAATAAGAAGAGGTCTAAATTTAACGCATGTTCCATTTGATGAGTTAGTCATTGGAACAATCTTAGTGTCTTTCCAGCGAAAACAGACAGAACACATGCAAAATAATGCAATAAAAGCGTCAGTAAGAGGGTGACATAAAGTATTCACACATTTTTGTGAGGATAATACAGAGCACACTTTCTAAACCAAGAGAATCATCAGGTTTAAAGGACTACAGAATATTATTCGCTACATTAAAAGCAGGAAAGTGGCTGTTCTCTCAAAAAAACCATGAGTGTACATTAAATGTGCATGTAACATTTCAAAAATGGTTGGAAAACTCCAGAGCATACTTACTTGTAAAGGTTTATGCAATCTTTTAAATGATAGCAACAAAAGGCGTCATTATTTCCAATCAGTAGAGATGATCTCTGTTCTCGAGGTAAATAGTTAAGCATATACATATGTGTCTGTGATTAAAATGCTCTCCGAAATCAGTAAATATAGATCATCAACATCCCAAAATTCCTCTTTCCGAAGAATCAACGGTGAGGAAATGTAATTAGAAAGCTATATTGCCTAACAATGTTTCTTTTAATGATCTCCTCTTTTTAAAATTAGTTATATTAATAAACTATAGAGGGATCCAATATCATTTATTGTAATTATGATCTCAATCTTTTCATTGAATCAACTTTGAAACTGACAAAAGTATAATCCATAAAATGTATAATATTTTAAACAAAATATATTTATTGGTACTAATTTCTCAAATTTCTCAAAATACGCTTAAATATATCACTAGAAAAACTGACCAATAAGAATTCAGTTAGACTACTATTGGATCTGTTAATCTGATTGGATAATTATTCTCGCTTTGACCTTGAAATTGTCATTACTATTGCATATTTGTGATTAGATGTCTGAAATAATTAAATCGTTTTTGCCTTTATAGAATTATGTAACTGATTTCGTTAAAATAAAGATTTTGTTGACTGATAAACATGCGTAAAAGCATACGGAAAATTAATAATTGGTGGGAAAAGAGTATTCTCATCGATAACTTAAACTTCATCAGGTTCTGCAGTTAAATATGTCCTAGAAATTATTTTCAAGTATTGGTTTTTGTAGGGATTTTGTTTGATTGCATGGAGGATTTAATCAAACAAAATCCCTACAAAAACCAATACTTGAAAATTAATCTGATGCTCACTAGTGACTAACCTATTCAGGTAGTTAACCTGGGGTTCTAGTGGGAAGCCGTGACCAGTAGGGTACAGTAGGTCGAAGATGAGGCAGTAACTCATCGAAGAAGACATTGCGAAGTGGTCGCGCTATATCGTGAACTGGCAGAAGTTAGAATTCAAGGACCATTGGATCGGTTCCCAGTGGCTCAATGGTCTACGAGCTCGCCTTGTAACCAGAAGGTCCTGGGTTCGAATCCCGGTGGGTGCGTACTGCTGAGGAGTCCCAAACTAGGACGAAACAGCTGTGCAATACTTGCAGGTTTTCCAGTGGTTCTCTAACTGATGTCAGCTCATGATTAATGCCTCCATACTAGAAAGTATTATTTAAATTTAATAATCCCCACTGAAACATACAAACTAAAAATTCAGCGACGAAAACTCTTTTTCGACGATTTCATTTTCATAGCTGTATAATCGTATAGACGTATGCGTATGAATTACAAAAGACAATAACAATCAGTTTTGTTACGTAAGTGTGAGTTATAGTTTGACAGTGAGTAAAAATACTAAAGTGCGAATTCCTCCATGTCATTCTCTCAATGACGATCCAATCATCACTCTTCATTTGGGTTCCGCTCGAGAGATGGCCTGGCTGGAGCGCGTCGCCATTCGACGACTTCCGCAACATATGTCCGACCTATCTCCAGTTTCTCCTTCATATTAATGGAACAAACAGCTCTCGCCTGTTGGTTTGTTCCTAGTCAAAGTTTTTTTGTTGATGATTCTTTCCGTTCGTTTGATCTTCAAAGTGGAGCCAGCCAGCGAAGGTGGCAGCTGTTGACAAAAGTCTTTAAATTGTTGGAATTGCTTTCCATGACGAGGAAGCCAAGTATTTACCCGTGTAGAAGAACTGACTGATATAACTGACATTTATGTTGAAAATTGGAATCTTGATCTTTATACTGAATGCATGAGACTTTCAGATTGGTTTCAGGTTGATGAACGCATATCGAACCTTTCCGAATCTGGCTGACTGCCTTCGACATCTCCATCTGTCCTGACTGCCTGTGATTGAAACCATGCTTCCTGCGCAGATAAGGCAAAGAAGTACCCTGTGTCAAATCAAACCCGTTGATGGTGATTGGTGCTGGTTGTTGTTGTTGTTGTTACTGTTGGTTGGTTGTCCTCACCACCACTGGCTTAATTAGAGCTAAACTATTGTCACAGCCAGTTCAGTGAGTAGTAAAGGTGACTAGCACGGCTGGAAATGCAACAGACAACTCCACACCACATCCTCCCCGTATTTAGGTTCAGCATGATGGTATATATATATATATATGTTTTCCGTTATCATGAGACCTTCGCCACTGATGATATCTCCTCTAATTGTTGATGGTAATGTCTACTATCATCATTCTTATTTTTGGACTAAGGTCCCAGTAGAAATAGCCGTTCAGTGGCAAATGTGTCATTCTCAGCTGTCACCACGACTTTTCACAAGTATTCATCTACGCTTCACATGGCCTTCTTCACGTCCTCCCAGATACAAAATTTGTTAGTGCCTAATTCAAGTTTGAATTAGATGTTTAGTATGTAACGTCATTTTAATGTCTTCTGAATGTATGTCCAGTTCATCTCCACTTTATTCTGCAATTTTATGAGTTATTGGTTTGCCGCATTTTAGAGTTGAACAGTATTGAACAAAGGGGGCACTTGTTGAAAGTCTGTGGTGGTCTTTTGGAAATGTGTTTTGTGAAGTATGGAACAAGTATTTGAGCCGCACAGATGCAATGACTGACTTGCAACTGGTGTTGACAATTCACTTGTTTTTACCTGTAGTGGAAGCTGTGCATCTTCAGAGGAATGAGCGACTGTCTTTTTGCTCTCTGGATGACTATCCTCCGCATCCTTAAGTGTACTGTCTGTTGATGACACTATTGGTGGCAGTTTCTTCGTGCAGAGAAACAACCATCACTATAACTATTGGAAATTAAATGTTATACTAATTCTCTTCACATTCTGAGTATTTCCAATAAAAAATCCTCCTTACTTTATTTTAGTCAAATGTGTAGTGCATCAGGCAAGTTACTTGGATGTGCAAATTCTATTCTGCTTCTCCCATTATTCTGAGAAAATTTATAGAAATGTTCTGTCTCACACACGTTCTCTTACCCTTGACACATTATCAAGCCAATGTCAAATTTTCACAAATGATTGAATAATTTAATTTTTATGGGGAAAAACGGGGTCTACCGAAGCTGTTGAGCTACCTGGGTTCCTATCCAGCTTAATACGCCAATGCTTCATATTTTTTTAACCTAATGTTGTGTATTTCTTGAAGGAAACAAGGGTAGGATAATAAAGAGGATTCGACCATGCCTTTGTTAATAATAATATTACTATTAACTGTCCTTCAGTCGGTTCAATAACAGTTTATTTGCTCGTGTGTAGAAAAGTATATCGGCCACACGCAACGTCAAGTCCACAAACGTATTCTGGAACACTGTCCAGCTGGGTTAGCTAGCCAAAGGAAAAAAAAGAATACTAGAAGCTCCATCATCGAACACCTCATCAACCCTGGACATCGAGCACCTCCTCATGAATGTTCCATAAAGCTACACAGAGTCCCTCAATATCCTACTAAAGAGTTTCGTGTACACCATTTGTATCTAGCTGAATCATTGGCTATTCACGATGTAAAATCAGAACTCTGCATTCAAAAGTACCACATACATGCACTCGCCTTATCGTGGCCAGAGTAACGTTCTCACTATAATTTTGCTTGTTTTTATTATGTAAGTTTACTATTATTATCATTGTGCTTATTTTACTAATGTGTATTAATAACATTGCGTTTTCATACAGATTTTATATGAAAACACTTTATCGTCTTCCCACCTGTTCTTGTCCACGCTACACGATTATGTTGATTAGTCGTTTTATAATTACTTATTACGTCACTCGAATATCTACCCCCTTTTCTAATTTTTAACTAATCACCTCTTCTAAATTACGCCTTACATTGTGTAGTAGGTTTTTCGGAGATAAACTTTACCAGTATCTGATTGGTTTTGTGAATTGTTTATTGCGCATATAATCACGATTGTACAGCAGCTAATGAAAATGAGACGTCGAAAAGAAACGTTTCTCCACTGTTTACGTCTTTTACTTATAACTCATCTTGGGAATATTTTGTTCATTGTTCAACAACACTTAAGGCTTCTTCAGACAAATTACTAAACCTTATTCTCATGGCGTTTTCGTAAGTACAGGAAAAAAAACACAAGGCCTCAGAGTAATGTATGCTTGAAATTATTATGACCAAGTTAAAGAATGGTAACTTTTGGAGACAAAAGAATTCATAACATGTCCAAGATTCTCACGCTTCTTGCATTGTTGTTTAACTAGTGGTGTGTTTGAGGGTCGTTGGTATTTTCGTTAGTACTGATTAAATATTAAAGAATGTCTGTTCAGCTTTTCCACTCTTCACTGACTGTGACATTTTCACCCAGGCTGCCTGTAGTTGAAACGATAATTCCTGAATAAACGACAGGTGAAGACTTCCTCCAAATTTCTACAGTGAAAGGTGACTGGTGCTTGCTTTATTTTATAAGGTATCTTCATCTCTTCTGTCCACAAAATGTTCACGCATAGATATACATCCTCCGAGAATTCAAGATCCTATGTTATATTCGCTTCGACTCAACGTACGCCACTTACATCATATCAAAATAAATTTTAGTCCAGATGGAAATATACTTTACCACAGTGCACACGTTCTATTCTTATATCAATAACACTCACTTCACAATCCACAGACTGCAACATGATCCAGTACACTGCAATGAAGATCATGAGTGGTAGCAGGGAACCTTATTCTCAATTCTGTCTTCCCTTCAAAGGCTTCACTTAGCCGTCAATACCAAAAAAGCAGTTTATTTATGAAAGGGTGAAAATTAAATATCATTCATAAATATTTACCAAAAAGTGAATGACGGAAGTCTTTTCTGCGGGACACCTTCAAACCAAATTTAGTTTATAAACATAGTAAAAGATATTTTCTTAAACCGAAATTATCCCATTTAAGCCAAAGTATTAGGATAAAGTTTACTGTCAATTTAAGGTAAAACTGTTTCATTCTGTCCTTCAGTTAATGCCTTCAGTTTATAAGCAAAGAATGGGATAATTGAATGTTTCACTGCCAAAATACTCATCAACAATGCATGTCGCCCAAGTCAGATTTCCACAGGATGCATTCATAAACCTCCAAAAATTTACTAAACGATAGAGAGCCAATAAAATAGTGAGAGTTGGGAGCGTGCCTTTATCCTTCATACCATAAAACAACATAAGTGCTGCTGAAAATCGACAACTAGTTAACTAGAAGTCAACCGGAATGCATACTGGGCAAATACTCAACCAATAACGAAGTACTTTTTGTCTGGTCACTGTGCAGTAACCATTGTTTTATGTATATGGTCCTTAGTTGTGTTAACTACACTCCACTGTTCAGCTTATAGTTTCTCCTACTGATTGCCTTTAAATACCACACAATTCGAAAATTGCAACACAATTGACACCCTCCCTAAATCTTTGAC